TTTGAATTTATATATGTATATATATATATACATATATAAATTCAAAGTAGTCTGCTCCTTAATATTCCCCCTTTTGTCTTTTGTTTATTTGTTGGTCCTTTGGGGATGTGTGCTGTGGTATGGAGTGTTCATGAGTTTCTTAAAAAAAACAAGCAGTTTTGATTATTATTTTGTGTTTTAATTTTTGTTTGTTCTGTGGAAGACTGCCAAGCTGTCCCGAGTACAGTTCGGTTTGTGTCCTGGAAATGATCCAAAGTTTTTCTACATTCAGTCATTTCAAGAACCAAAATTAATTGGAAAAAGCCAAATCAACCCCACAAAACAAGACAAATCTTTCAAATGTTTTTGTTTAGACAATATTATAATTTACTTTACATATAATGTAAAACATATAACTTTGTTGTCCCTAAACTCACTAAATGTATTAAAACTACACTTTATAAAATATTAAAGTAGTAGTAACCTCATGCCATTGCGTGAATGTTTGTACACCGCAGCTGCGGTCGAGCATAATTTAACTTCCAGGAGTTATAAACCTAACAGGATGTACTTTTCTTTTTAAAGCTTTGTCTGCTTAAAAGAGCTGATGGTGTGAAATGGCCCTTTAGAGTTTGTGGTGAAGTCAGACTGTCCGACATAAATCACACGAAAAGAGGAAAAAAAAACATCTTCTGACTGAGCTCAGCTTACAAGCAGCAGCGTCATTTCTCACCGTTATCAGAACAATCCACTTTCTGTCTGCCTGTCAGGGCAGGAAAACTCACCCAAGGCGGAGCTCCAAACTTTAGGGACTTTGTTGGAGAACGCCTGCTTCTATTCCAGTCAGTGTGGGAGCAGCGGCCAACATCTGTGAGACCCGAGGAAAACCTTCAGACACTCAGCATCATGGGCCTCTTCAGCTTCCTGAGCGCCATCATCACCAGAACCTTGTTCATCCTCGTCTCTCTGGTCGGTGTCTGGAGGGTGGCCTATGTGAAGGAAAGCCACTACTACTGGTTTCTGACTTTTCTCTTCCTGCCGCTTGTTGTTGAAATGATCATAACTCTGAAGAACCAGGACGGGAAGGATTACAAATGGTAAATTAAAGCAGTGCTTGTAAATGTGTTGTACATTTTTTAATTTTAGAGGATGCGCTGAGGTATTTGTTTTGAGTAAATTGCTTAATAAATGTGCATCGTGACGCCTATTTAATCTAAGCTGTTGCTGTTTGAATCTCTCGCCTCCCTCCCTCTCTGTGAGCCCCTACATCCTGCTTTCCCAACTGCCTGTGTGTTTGACCTGGAGCAGCTGAAAGAAACCGCAACTGCCATTTCAGAAAATTAAACTCCCCAAAAAGGATTCCTCCAGCAATCAGGCAGAATTATTTGCTATCTGTAGCAAGTTCCTTTCAATTTAACCAGAAATCCTGTGCAAGAGGAAGGATGATGCACAAATAACAAGCAGATGTTTGTTTCCTTCTCAGTGGTTGAAAATGTGGGGAAAATTAATTTTGTTGTATTTAATAGATATATTAACGGTGTGTACGTGGGTTTTATCTGTATGGAGCGAGCTCAAGGCTTCAGGGTTCATAAGTTAGAGATGTTTTAAAGAATGAATGGAAATTAAAATAAATATTATCTCATGATTTAACCCATTTATTGTCACCAAATTGCTTATGTCAGCCCCGATGAATATAACCTGATAAATATTCACAGTGTCAGGATCGATCATCTAAATCTTAAATCCTCTTTGTTCTGCTGCAGGTTTTCTCCAACAATCTTCCTGTTCCTCATAAGCATCATCCCCTCCATCTGGATCCTGGAGCTTCACCACCAGCAGAATAAAGCAGCAGACAACAAGGTTCTTTAAATCAGAAAAAAACATGCCATATACAGATGCTGGCTGATAATATCAGAAGTCTTTGCATCTAAATCTGCAGTTGTTGCCCATTTTAGATTTTTGACCTAAGTGGCTCATGTTTGCTTCTTTCCTCTGTTTTCAGTGCAACTACTCGGATCCCTTGGAGCGTTTAAGCAAAATTATCAAGCCAAATTCAACGTTAGAAAACATCACTTTCCCCGGCTTGTTTAAGGTAAGAGACGAGATGATGCAGAGGTTTTGGTTTGGTGTTTCTGGAAACCCGTGCCTCAGTAAGAATACAACAGAAAGGCTGTGAGGACGTAAAACTTTATAGAATTCATTTATGTTATGAGTTGATGAGTCAAATGACCCAACATGTGGCTTTTGACAAGCTATGATTTTGACTAAGTCATGTTTCAA